TCAAGCTTCTTTGCCCTTCAAGGCCCCTTCTGCAGAAAAACAGGACGACATGAAACCAAACGTTTCTCAGCAAGGAAAGCGGTGACGACAAGGACAACACTTTGCTTGATTTCAGCTTCTGGAGGTCTTCTTCCTCGATAGCAGGTTTATGCGAGACATTTTCTTTGCCGCTTCGTTTTAGATTTTGTACTTGCGCATCTAGCATGAAGTTTGATCTTGCAAATCTTGGGTCAGTTCAAGTTTGCAGGCCTCAGCTAAATGGCGGGGCATTGAGGTATCTTTCTATCGAATGACGAAATCCCAGCGAGGTAGATCTACTGTAATCTTCGCCCTTTTTCGTTCTAGCTTCTGCATAAAATCTGCGTAGGTTTTGATCAAGCTGACCTATTTTCATTGCTTCAAGCGGGGTTTGAATTTGTTTTTCTCCACACTAAGCTGAAAATAACATAAAAAGAAACGGACTATCAAAATTTGGGTAGTAATGGAACTTAACTTTTCAATTTATTTTCATCTGTTATCAAAGTAAGCGCTTTTTAAAACCGTGAAAACGCACTGAAATTGAAAATGTAATTTCGTCGACATTGTCTACGCATTAGCATTTAATTGGGTTTACACATAACTCAACAGGAACAATTTCTAAAAATTTAATAAGTCTTAAATCTTTATTTCGTTTTATCTTTATCGTAAAGCCTATTACTGAGTTCTAACAAAGCTTCAATAACTTTTTGTTTACCTTTAAATGTTGACTCAGACCTGTTTGCGACTTCTTTCGTCTTTTTTTGAGTGTCGCTCACTTACAAGCTCTTCAAGTTCGCTTTCGCTTAAACTTGCGAATGTGTTTGCAGGTGGCTCGGGGAAAATGCTCCCAAATAGGTCAAAGGATGGCCTTTCTGTTTCATCTCCACACAAATGTGAAGACAGTTTCGCATTTCTGGCAGAAGGGACGTCGGCCATTACTTTGGAAACAATGTCTGTAAAAAGATTTGCTTTGTAAACATTAGCACACGTCAGCAGCGTACACCTATGGGCAAATAGAAGACGCTGAATTAACCAATCAGAGCGCGCGCTTTGCTTTAGTTATGTTATAACAAAAGTTTGTTGTATTAGAGTAAGTATCTACGGCCTGTTTTTCAAGATAACACGATTACTGGGATATTAAAAACATATATTAAATTTGACCCACCAGTAGGATTACCCGCAAAAATCAGTGCAAATTAAATGCAAAATTTTCCATGCCAAACCTAACTTCTCAAAATAAAGTTAATATATAGTCGAGCCACTTATAAGGGCACACACTTGGACACAGACATTGCCTCTGTAGCAGAGGTATGGAAAATTAAAAATGTAGTGTCACAACTCTATGTGACTAGAACACTAAACAAATGTCAACAACAAAAACAACAACAACAAGCTTTATTACCAAATAAAAAAAGTTAAACTTTACAACATAATATATTAATACAAAAAGGAGGTAATTATGTTTACTCAGGATAACTAAAAAGCTAATCGAGCTGAGTAAAACTAAGTAATGTTTCCGTACAGGAGGTAGGTTGGCACTAAAGCTTGATGAAAGCAATTAATTAGTCAATAAGAAAGAGACGAAAAGAAGAAATAAATAAATAAATAAATAAAATAAATAAACAAATACCAGTTGTAAACTCATGAACAGTAAGACTGTAAGATATTTAGCTTGACTTTGTTTTTAAACGTTTTAAGGTGGCCGAACACAGTTTTTGATACCTGTGTTCATTCACCTTTTTCTCTAAAACCCTTGATCCCTCGGTCGCCAAAACTGGCAGCAAGCAAGTTAACAACACAAACTTTGGTTTTTTGATGGTTAGGCTGACGTATGTGCTGTTGCCATGGCAACATGAATAAATATAAACAGGCCTTTAAAATCGGTTTTGTTTATTTATAGAAAATCTGGTCATAAGATTTTCTTTATAATTTGCATGCAACAAACTTGTAACGATTCTCACAAATTAGCACCATTTTGCTAATAATTTAACAGAGAGATCTTTAATTATCCCTTGTTGAAGGTTCACTGGAATATCTANGAACTTGAACCCGCGACCTCCGGATTTCAAGTCCGGCGCCCTAACCACTCCGCCACGCTGCCTCCAAAACCTAGTTACTAGTTCTTATTACGATGATGATCTTTCATTTCAAAAGCATTTGTATGAAAAAATATTGATTCTATGCAAAGTTATAAATGAAAAACGTTTCTTTGCATTTATAACTGTCGACGGGTTGTCACGATAAGTAAACTTGCATTAAAAGTTGCGTGACAGATAGCAGCGTATTAACGAATGCCAAAGTTTGTTTGGTATTGTCGATGAGCTAGTCTGGGTGTTCTCCTTTTGTAGATTGTTGATTTAAGGTGGCTGAACACAGTTTTTGATACCTGTGTTTCATTCGACTTTTTCTCTAAAACCCTTGATGTCTCGGTCGCCAAAATGGCAGCAAGCACTGAAGTTAACAACACAAACTTTGGTTTTTCGAAGGTTTAGCTAACGTATGTGCCGTTGCCATGGCAACATGAATAAAAAGAAACAGGCCTTTAAAATCGGTTTTGTTTATTTGTAGAAAATCTGGTCATTAGATTTTCTTTATAATTTGCATGCAACAAGCTTGTAACGATTCTCACAAGTTAACACCTTTTTGTTAATAATTTAACAGAGAGATCTTTAATTATCCCTTGTTGAAGGTTCACTGGAATATCTAGAATTTCCTTTGTTAAAGTTCAATTAGTTTCAATACTCCAGCTACTTATTTCCTGAAAAATTTTCGTGCCAAATTTCGTGAAATTCTAACGAGCGGTTCTCGAGAAATAGGCGTATTTCCGAGAGTGCAAATTTTCATTCAATCGCAACGTTTTGACTTTACTACGCATGCGCTGCATTTAACTGGGTTCTTTCGGTAACGAAGAAAAAGCTGAGAATTGCCGGGGTTTTGCATCGTTACCCTTTCTAACATATCTCTGTGATAAAAGACTAAAGCCATCAATACACTGCGTTCAGTTATAGAGAAAAATAGCACAGATAGTGTGGGTGTTGAGTAAATAACATGATCGCTCTATTGACGGCGTGTTTGTCTTTTGCAATCCATGTGCGCGCTTCGAATTGCCTCAGCAAAAGCGCGCGCGAAAACTGTGTTAGGTCACCTTAAGCTTAAATATGTCGTCGAAGAAACGCAAAAGTTCGTGTCCATTTGCAAGCACGAAGAAAGTATCACAGAAGAAATAGTCGGTGAAAAAGGTTTAAAAAACATTCGATCAGAATTGGGCTGATGCGTTAGCTGCTAGCGACAAAGGTTCCTGCTTCTAGCAGGAGAAGTTGCTTGCACTGGACGAGGAAGACGTTTGACATTTTCTAAGCATTACTTCCCTGGCGCTTTCGCCGTTCGAAGCGGTAAAAGTAATAAACGTAAACATCTCAACTCGTGGGTTTCCTTCACGTTGTTTACGAGTAGGTTCTTCCGTTGTCTACGTCTAAGCTAAGGCGTTTTAGTTTAAAATCGACAAGAAGAAGAAACAGAAGCGAAAATTATTTTCTTACTAGCCTGGGCGCACAAGCGGTGGAATTCAGATCTATTGTTGACGTAAAATGAGCCTTCACTTGGTCGATCAACGCTCATTATTTTCACTTGTTTTGTGTAAATCTCTTTACACCGGAAGAACGCCCCAAAGTACTTTCCTTCATATCTGGAAACGAAAATTTCAGTGAGTGAAGCGAACATTTTGAGTTCGTTTCCGGCGAGTTTTCAACGTTTGTCGCTGAAAGTTCAAGAGAATGTTGCCTGATAATCAGGCAAAGAAACAGTGTCGGGAAATTTTTAGTTTTTGCTTCTTTCAAAAGTTACGACTATTGTAGTGAAAAGAATGCATGTTTTATCAAAACTCAAAGTTGAACTACGTGTCATAAACAAACCAGAGAAGTAATCAAAATTTCCCGACACCGCTTTTATAAACCAAGGTGATTAGTGTACCTCCGTACTTTGGGAAATAGGGCGCTATATTCGGAAACCTTAACCTTTTTTATTTTAATAAATATACCTTCGTAATCAACAATTCTTAAGCTTTCAGAAAATGCATACTTTACAGGGGTTTGTGTCAAACGTCCGACTGTAAAGTGGCCCCAACAAATGATGGTCATTTGGGGTACACTGATACCTTAATCTATTTGGAAAATGCTCTACACCTCAGTTCCACCGCAAATATATATGGCAAAAACGTAGGTACATTTGTTTTTTAGCGCTTTGGGTCTTGAAACTGTTCTCTGCCTTTTTCCAATTCAAACACCCATAGGCCAAGGGGAACCTCAGATTCCCTCTTTTTCTAGTGGGTTTTTTCTATTTCCCCTTGATTTATTTTCGGTAGTCGCCATGAATAATCAGCATTTAAGTTCCATATCTAGTGTTTACAAAGGAAACAAGCAAATGGGCTATATTCAGTATAATCGTATCTCTAACACAATTCTCGATCGTGATTGGTTCTCCGCGCGCGATCACGTGGGTGTCCAAATACAGGTATCCGGGGTATCCAATTTGAACTTTTTGTAATTGGATACCTACAATTGGATATCCACGTGATTTTCACGTCAATTACGCTTGCTTTAATGGCTTTCTTCGCAATGTTTCCTACAGTTTTCAAAACTCATGAAAAGCGCTACAGACGTTTTCGCTCAAAAGAACCTCCCAAAAGACATTATAAATTCAGAAATTTATTATAGATAAAATTAATTAGTAGTTGGACCTCGTGTCGTACAATTCAGGGAGTAATCGTGCTCTTATTTTCAAATCTCGCGATTACTCCCTGAATTGTACTCAACTCGGTCCAATTACTATTACAAATTGTTTACGACTTCTTGGAAAGAACAATCTACTTTAGAAACCTGACTGTGTTCGTGTCAACCAATGATACTTCTTCATTAAGAGCATATGTGTACAGTGTGACAATGTTTTATAATCATGTATACATATTTTATTACGTTCCAAAACAGAATTACATGGAATTATTACAACAAACGCCAATGATTCATTGATGGTTCCAGATCCCTTGGAGGAAAAAGAATCACAGGGAACATTTAGTTTACAGCGCGGCTCCATAGATATCGGTAGAGGTTAGGGCGATAACACTGGTGTAACATTTATCTCACACGTTTCTAGTTGAAATTAAACTGTTTTGTTTTTAGCAATTTAGAAACGGAAATATTTCACCTCTCAGTTTTGTGTACTTTGTATTTGGTAGGTCGACTTGGAATAGTAACAGTTGTATTTAAATTCAGCGCGCTTTGCAATGATACACGAGATTTGGGATTGGATTCAGCAGATACAAATAGGCAAGTTGATGGCACTGATTCAACATATCAATAAATTGTTCAAGATACAAATTCTCTCTGCTTGTCTTCATGCATTTCTTGTAGCAGAATCACAGGAAATTTTGTCCTTTGATTGTCCATTAGCGTATCAGTTTCTTCAGCTCTCTTTTAATTTCTGTCCTTTGCGCCCCTCGTGATATTTAATATTTTCATGTGGCTTACACTTTGGATTGAAAAAAAGCATTAAAATAGAGCACCGACGAACCATTTTGTTAAAAAGCAAGAGATTTTAGAAGATTGTCATATGTTTTTAATTCCTTACTTCTGTCTTTGGTAAAAACAAAACCACCGTTTCAAGAACTCAAAAGGAACGCCAATGCTGAGATTAACTCAACAAAATTTTTTGTTTTTACAGATCTTCATTATTACAATCTCCGATAGTTTCAGTGTTGGCAATGACTCAGAATGGCAGCGTAGGTGCGCTTCAAAGAAACGCCACTCTCAGGTTTAAGATTAAGGTGAATTACTGATGAAAGTTTTTGTTATTATAGTTATAAGGTCTTAATAAATCGATTTGTAAGTGCAAATGGTTATGCTGATAATTTAACGAGTGGGGAAATTTCTTATAAATCTGCTGCATTTCAACCATATGCTAGTTGCCGTTTAATATTGTTAATACAATGCCTGCTTTAACTTATTCTTTCCTTTCTCCCTGCCCTTCTGTTTGCTACATTTGCACATTACCTCTTTTACTTAGCTTGGTCCTTTGCATGCTCAAGCAAGTTGTAGAAATAATTATAGTGTGGAATGGTTACTTTCAGAGAACGGAAGGATCGTCTATACGATGCATGTTCCTGAACCATACTTCCACGTAAGATCCTATGTTTTTATGTATCTTTTCTCTAAAAAGCAAACAAAATAAGGAAGGTGTGTCGAGCCTCCCTTGTCATGAAAACAAAAGAACAACAGACAGACGAAATGGTTAGTATTCCACATAATTACCTTCTTAATCAATCTCTGGAAGATTTACTTAATGCTAGTGCTGTATAATGACTAAAAAAAAAGTCATGGATTTATACGTTAAATATATTATTACAAATATAGTTCATTTTAACGAAAATATTTCATGTTAATCGTTGTTGCTTTCTTTTTTACGTAGCTCTAACAAGTCTTTCTGGTCTGATAACGGTATGACATTTGTAGACAACAGTGAAGACAACTTCACAACATGCTTGACGGATCACCTCACCAGTTTTGCTGTTCTTATTGATTATAACAACGACGACGAGAAAATACAGGTATGAAAGGTACTTGATATGGAACAAACTGCACGAGTATTACATGCAAGATCGGACCCTGTGTTACATTTTGTAGTTAGCAAAAGGTCGGTCAGATACACATTGCAAGATAAAGGAGACTCTACTAATTAGGGAACTGAAACCTACCCTAAACGATAATGTTCGCAGCGAAAAGCTTTATCTTTATTAGTTTGCATCTTTTAACATACAAATTTTTCTCAGCTTCTGTCACTGTTATTGTTAATTAGTTACTTGTCTGAAATTGAAAATTTAATTGTTACTTCTATTCCAAACGGTCACTTCTGAAGATGTATGTCGAAACATACAAAACGTCAACTTAAATGACTTTCGTTTTCCAAGATGCGTGTTATTGTCATGTTTGTCACTGCAGTTTGTGTGTTTTTTCTTATAAAGCTACCAGGCCGAAGAAAAAGAATATTTATGAATTACGGTAGCACTGTATGTAGAAAAAGTCTTTGCGCATCATTTAGATTGACCAGTGAATACTAACTGTCTTTAAATAAATTGTTGTTATTGTTGTTGTTGTTGTGTTGTTGTTATAGCTTATTTGTCGTTGTCATTTTGACAAGCAATAGGGCAATGGTCCAAGTTGATGTCAATTTTTTTTCTCTCTCTTAGCTCAGCGACACAGAAAAACAAGTGTTGGATTTGATCACAAAAACTGGTTCTGGTTTTGCCATTTTTTGTCTCCTTGCATGTGTTTTTACTTTCGCTCGTGTCAGGTTTGTAGAATGCTTGTTTACAGTATATTTTCGCTTGCTCTATAGAGTTGCACATTGTTCTGCATTATCTCTCACAACGGCACAGAAACGTTTATACCAAGAATAATTAATCTTCCGTGGTTATCTTTCTCACAATTTTCCACTTCGATTTCATATTTTGGATTCAGTAAAATCACAGCACCTTCACTATGATGTGTTCCATAACTACAGAAAAAAATCTCTCACAATGTAAGAGAAACAAAGAATTTTAAAATTCTCTTATTTTTCTCACAACGACTCCTACTTCTTTTTACAGAGGCTTATCAGATATGCGATACCGAATTCATCTCAATCTTTGTGCTGCCTTAGCCGCTGCGCAGTTGGTATTTGTCACTGGTATTGATGCTACTAAAATTAAAGTAGGTGAACCCTTAAAGTTATGCCTAACTGATACAACAAACGGTGGAACAGTTGTCAAACCAACAAAAGAAAAGAAAATGATGAAGAAAGGGGAAGAAAACTGTGTTTTGTTTCTGTATCTTAAGTTCAAAAGACATGAAATATCCAGGGTCCAGTGCAGGCATTAATAATGTTGGTGAATGTTGCGTTGAGATACAAAGTTTCTCCATGCGTTAGCGACTTTAAAGTTGACTGCAGGTTTTCTATTAAGATCTGTAAGGGCGGTGTAGCACACAAGGAACGACATAACTGCGCCATCGAGATTGATCAATTGATAGAGTGAGAGATATTTTCTTTTGCTTTTGCACAGGGTGTCTGTGTTGCTGTCGCTGTTATGCTCCATTACTTTTTCACGGCATCATTTACCTGGATGTTTGTTGAGGCTGTCCACCTGTTCCTAAAAATCGTCTCAGTTTTCAACATACGAATCACTCGCATGCGTTACTACGTGGCAATAGGATGGGGTAAGTTTCGAGATACGTTCTGTTGTGATTTTCACATATATATAATCAAATTGCTTGAATAAACGCAAACGAACAGAGAAGAATCAGATTAGAGTAAATATGGCATGTGACGCCACTTGGTTAATTAACTGAGTGGATAATATCAAGACAAGGGCAAACTCCATGGAATTTCAATTTAGACACTTGATAAAAGCTCTGCTTATCTTAATTCACGTCTCTTTCTTCTCCTTATGGGCATTGTTCTGATCGCAGCAGAAGAACAGCATCTTCGCGATAACCATTAAAGTTAATGATCCCTTGATCTAAATAGAATCTCCTTGCACTCAACCTATGTCTTCATGGCATTTAAAAAGCTAGTCAGATTCCTTCTGACAGACAGTCCCTCTATTCTATCTTTCTAACATATTTCGTAGCATTCTTTTCTGGTTTGTTATTCCAGGTATACCAGTCCTCATAGTTGCAATCTCCGTAAGTGTATATCATGAAGGGTACGGCACATCAAAGCTGTAAGTACAAAGATTCAACTTCACCTCAACGTTTATGATACGTTGTTGTGTAATCTGTCTGTTTGTTTGTTGAATTTTCAATTCTTTACTTTCCACTCAAGAACAGCTTTAATGTACTACTAACATGAACTGTATTCAGATTTAATGTTACATTTTAATGCACTTTGTGACATTTCTACGTTTCTTACAAGTAAACAGCCCCATGTACTTTTTTAGTGAAATAATAAGCATTCTTTTGATCATTAATGTTATACTGTCAGTTAAGGTGTTTCACTGATTGCTTCTCTGATTCTTCTTTTTGTAGTTGTTGGCTAAGCCTTGATGGAGGCTTTATTTGGGCATTTCTCATCCCAGTCGTAATTATTGTATCGGTAAGCAGAGTTTCAATACCATATAAAGTTGCTGTAGCTACCCTGGTCCGTTCTATTTTATACATTTATTTTCTTTCATTCGCAACTCCTGTTAGTTTAGGTAATTATTGTATTCAGTAATTTATGCTGGTAACTTACCCCGATTGCACACCTACACGCACATGCAAATATTATATTAAAACGTTTCCGTCTACGGCTGCAGATCAGTGATTTTCTAACGGACTTCCTTTTATTTAGGTTGGTCGTCTCGAATAAGTAAAGTTAACAACATCCTTATACACTGCAGGGTTGACTTAAATACAAAACTTACGTGTGATATTTACCTTTTTTTTTCTTCTTTTAGATAAACGTTTTTGTTTTGGTCGCTATCATAGTTGTTCGTGTCTCCTTAAAAGGCAATCCTTTGTCACCGGGTGAAAATAAAAGATTTGCGTAAGTAAAACAAGCTAAGCGAGAGTACATTTTAATTATTGTTCCGACCCGTAAGGTCGCGCGCGATACTTATGTTTCAGAAGCAAATGCTTCCCGACATGTTATTGTTTCAGAGAGAGAACGATTTGCTTTGCGCAACTACACAACGAACGTTGTTTCACAATGACGTTTCCTTGCTAAGCATGAAAGGCCATAACGCTAACGAGGGACTGGACGAGGATTTTGAATCTCAGTTATCACTTCACTGTTCCGTTATTTCTCAGCTATCGATCAGTAGATTTTGCAGATCTCAGCTGTCGGTTAAAGAACGCGTCATCTCTCACCTGACGACTAAAATTTGACCAATTTTCAGCTTTCAGTTTAATAAACCCAAACAGCCCCTCCATAAAGACAATTTCAGCAGCTGAGGCTTATTTTTATTCTATATCCTGCTTAAATTAAACGTATTTCACGCTAGCAACATTTTGACTAGATTCATATAAAGAACATAATCACAGACTCATACAAAAGTAGAACTGGACGTGAAAGTGGTGAAAGTGGAATTGAAGCACAAAAGATGAACTTCTGACCTATTTATACTAATTGCGCAAAAATTTACTCAATGACCTATATTATTGTTTTGCTTACATCTCGCTCACTTTTTTATTTGCTTTTTCACTTTTTTGTTTCGACTTTTTTTTCTCTTCTTTTTTCATGTTTCAGTGCCGCTCTCAAGACAGTAATAGTACTGTTTCCACTCCTCGGCCTTTGCTGGTTCTTTGGTATTGTTGGAGTAATGACAAATAGCCGCCCATTTATTTATGCTTTCGTAGTCCTATCTTCTCTCCAGGTTTGTGATTCATTACGCATTCATTTGTGTTTATGCATTCATTCTCAAAGGCACCGTTGCGAATTTTTAAAAATAGGCACACTGGCCACGGGTAACTTTTCCAACCAACTGTAGACTATTCACAACCATTTCTTGATACGCCAATATTGCAACAAGCACTGACTGTCATAAGCACATTTGGTAAAAGAAACACAATTGCCATCTTGTTGGAACTTTCAGACACGAGTGTTTGACCGGAGGTGAATTCTAGGTAAACTTTAGTATTCTTGTTCTTATTATTGCAATCAGACATACTGGTACTGTGAGCTGAGATTTAAGTACATCATATTGATTTCTTTGTAGGGATTTTTTATTCTTGTGTTTCACTGCATCGGAAACACCGAGGTGAGGAACTTGTGTAATACCATGACAATTACGATAACGATAATGATACTGATACTGATAAGATTATCGATAATGATAATGACAATGATTATAATATTAATAATGACCATAAAGATAATAACGCAGAAAATGAAAATGATAAAGCAATTAACCTGCCGAGATATTCCCTTTGGAGGAACCATCACCATTTGTGCGCGCAAAATACAAACTTTGTCTTGCGCGCGCGGATACGATNAGAAACGCTATTTCGGGCCCGGTAAAGTTTCCCGTTAACCGGCCCGGTAAGTTATCGGGCCCGGTATTTACGGGAGCTTTCGAGAAACAGGCCCCTGGGCGGTGTCTTTCCGTTTCTCCCACACTCTCCGTATCTCTCTTGACTAACTGGTCTTTCCTTACATACGAAAGTCGCTCATGACGTTTTTATAGCGACTAAGTGTCTAAACTGCCGAGCATGCGCAATTACGTCGATTCTCAGATTTCTGACACAATCAGACTTCACTCTGATCAACCAAAAATTGAGAAGATCTGGGCACGACATTAGCTACCTACATTAAAGTAAAACACTTTTGAAAGATGGAATCCCATAAAATTTACACATTTGTCGTTTGTAGATTCTTGAAAACACGGGCTCAAATTGTAGACATCTGTTATGATTTGTCATTTCCAGGTACGGGGATCACTAAAAGCACTCAAAGACCGTCATTCATTAGAGTCAAGCATTAGGCAAGAACAGGTTTGTTAAGATCTTAGCTTCTTGTTTTCTAGTTACGAAAACTTTGCTGCAACTTTATGCCGCATTTTTTTCTTTTAGAAAAAGAGATTGCGGGAATCCCGGACAGAACAGAAGATCAGCAGTTCAATGAGAGCCAATCCAGCCGGGAAAAAGAATTTAATCAAACAAGTTTCAGGACTAAAGCAAAGCAGAAAGAAAAGAGAAAAAGCTACCAACGTGTAACAGGCCGTAAAGCAAAGTTTAAAGAATAGAATAGACGTTTCATATCTGTGCTCTCCTATGGGATGAGCGCCCTAGAAATTCAAAACTTTAACATTTTCCCGATACAAATTTCTGCTTCAGAAACTCTCATGTTTAGTGACCTGCAGCCAATACGTAAACAAAATATTATCCAACATTGATGTTTCAAAAAAACTTCTGTCGAATCTTTCCTTTCTGGGGTACGCCGTGGTACGAAGTACTTCAAACTTTGCAGGAAATTTCACACCGGAAAAGCAATTTTGGAGAACTTAACTGGTGAACTAAATGCAACTAACCGTGATAAAGTAGTTCGAAATAAATCTGCATGTTCTGTAGACGGCGCGAAAGCCGATTAAATGACAAAGTTGAGTAAACAAACCCACTTGTAAGCCAATTTACTGCAGGAAGAAAAGGCTCAGAGTCAGTCCGTATAGTGAAAAACTGTGACCTCAAGCTTGAAAATGCTGCCCGGGGTTGCAGGGCGAGGGCAGCATTTTCAAGACATCGGTCA